TAGCAAATTTCTCCTAATTGGTTTCATTCAGCGATAAACTTAAAGAAAAAATATTCCATCATATTTCCACTTTGATACTTCATAGAAGCTTAAAAATCCAGCGAAGCATATATGCCTCTTAACATACGAATCGCGATAGAAAAATCTTTGCTTAGAATTGAAACTCGCAGTTTAAACATTTTAAAACGTTTCATTATAACTCGTAAATTAGACGTGCTGAGAAACAAGGAGAGGGTAGGATTCGAAGGGAGGAAAAGAACAGCTCCCCCTCCTTCTCATTCGAGATAGACGGCGCTGAGTAAAAGTTAGCCGCGAACTTTTCTCCCCAAATCATCATTTTTGAAAGCGTAAAAAGAGAATTAAGAATTCATTTTAAATGGCGGCACAACGATTAGAACTTCGGAATAAACCTCTTTGATGGAAGCCGCAAAAGGAAACTTTGCGGCGGGTTTTCGGAACGAAAACGTTCGAAAGGTTCGAGTGGCTTGAAGAGCTGTTCGGAAACCACTCGAGGGTACCTTTAGTTTTGCTGAAGAGAAGACCTTTTCAATTTGAATGAGCTCTTTTAAAATGCGAACCCGACTTCACAATGGCCCTTTGAAAACTCCTGGTTGCTGCACGGCCGTAAAAGTTCCAAGCAAGCGTAAGACTGGAAACTGTTTACAGCCAATTGGCACTTTGACACTCTTTGGAAAGTATCAAAAGATACGAAATAGCTTCCGATTCGCCCTCTTCAATTTCAATGAGGGATCTAGCGATACTTTTACGGCTGTAACTGGCTTGTGTTTTGAGGTATTACTCCTGATGTAAGAGGATAGAAGTTTTAGAAAGAAACATCGCAAAGAATCCAGCCAGCTACTAAGTGTTGATTATTTCGTCGCAGACTCCAATCTCAGCGTAAAAATTTGTTGGGAAATCAAGAGAAACTATACTTGACAAAACGTGAAAATACTCATAAAGGAAACCCATTCCTTTTTTGCACCCTATTCTTGAAACCCCGTAATCAGAATGCAGAAAACCATAGAAAGAGAACATGTTCTGGTGGCATCCATAAATTTCAAAACAAAATCCTCAAAGAAGTTAATACTCAGTAACGTTTTGATAAGAAAATGGGTCAAAGTAAGAGAATTTTTATGATTAACTGCAAGCAGAATTCAAATGAATAATTTTTTTAGTATTTTCTCTGAAACCATACTACTTCCAGAAACAACGATTAATTTTAAATCTAATCAATTCTTAATATTATCTCTTTTATTTCAACAATGGAGATTTCTTTTATGTGTCAAACCATATGGTGTAATATTTTCTGTATTATGTTTCTCATGTATTCTTGTATATTATATGTCATTCAGTGTATTATTCCTATGTTCTATATATCACACATGGCCAAATTGAAGATCGCAAGCCACATGCGTTCTCAGGCCCGATAACTGGCGCTCGCGAAACACATGAGGTTCTTTGGTTCCTTAAATGCAACTCGCTTGCATCTAATAATAGTTTAATTTTTGAAATATAGTTATATTTTAAAATATAAATATATTATTTACAGTATATCCAATAGATTATTTTTAAAATATATTTGTGCGCTCAAGTAATAGTCTGGCCATTACGTCCTCGTTTGCAAAAATTGTATGATTTAATATTTATTTAACATAATTTTTAATTCATTTTAAGGTTTTCCGATTTTTTTTTAGCCCTAAGACATGAAACGAAAAAGAATTTTTGGTACTTTTCCGTTTTGCCGTCGCAGGCGATAAAGTCGCTAATAATGGTACAACTTATGCGAAACGGATTATCCTCGATGGTAACCTTTTACGCCTCATTTTCAAAACAAGTCGCAACTTTCTTTTAATACTGGCATATAATTACATAGAATTTTTAACAGATAGTTCAATTTTATGCCATTCGCGGTAATTAAGTCAATAAGGATGCAATCACACCGCTTACCCGAAGCCGAAAATACAGAAAAGGCAAATTGAAGGGTTAAATTCATCAATTCTAATGAAAATGTACTAACGAAGTAAAGCACTGTGGTTTTACATAATTTCGGAGTAAGGTATTCGTACGAATTGAAATAATTATTGCATTTAAACTTTTAGCCCAAATTAAGATTTAACTTGAAATTAATGTAGATAATTACTGAGAGAATTAGATTTTTGTAGCGTAGTTTACGTGAGATGAGATCACTTGGGGTTACGTGATATGAACCGGCAAATCAGGATGTGGAACCATGAAAGCATAGTAAATTCTTAAATTAATGTATTTTTACAAATTTATTGTCTTTATTTATTGGATTTTTTACAAAATTTTAAACGATATTAAAATGTTTATGCCTCTAAAATAAAAAATTCTTAGATCTAACATTTGTTAACATTTTTTATGTGCGTACTGTATGTTGTCGCCAATAAAGTCTGCTTGGCCAGATTTGCGCAGACGAAACGAAAAAGTACCGAATTTTTCATTTCATTTAAATATTTAATTATTCTTCCAAAAAAGTGTTTGTAACCGGTGCGCTCTAATTCTTTTTTAATTCACTGTATTTTAACGTTTTCCACATTGATGCATGAGAGTTAAAAAGAGAGGAAAATCACTGAAATTATTTTTCAAATTAGTGTCTTATTTTTCTCCCTCGTGTAAAGCTTTTTATCATTATTGAACTTGCCTTTAAAATTCCTACTTTCGGCTACAGTCTATAAGGTATTTCTCCCGCCTTCTTAACATGCCTTTGCAGTGTAGTTGTCAGCATAATGGGCGCGTATTCCAGAGGTCCGTGGTTGGATTCCCGGCGAATATGTTGCTCAATTTTCATCTCTCTTGCTTCCAAAAAACCTAATGTCCCTATAGTGTTGCACGAACTCAAAGAGTGGCGGATGATGATTCTCCACACCCAGGATTTGGCGGTTGGCTCCCCTAAACCTCAGTCGCTCTTTAAAAGGGGGGAGTATATAAGGTATTTCTCCCGCTTTCTTAGCATGCCTGCGTATTCCAGAGGTCCGTGATTCGATTAACGGCGAAGACGTTTCTCATTTTTCAACTCTCTTGCTTCCAAAAAAACCTAATGTCCCTACAAGTCTACATCATAAAAACCAGTCAATACGTATAAAGGGGAGAGGGGACCAAAAGAAAGTACTTGACTTTCCTCTAAAACTCCGTATTACAATAATTTCAAATCTGTATATCGTAGGAACAATATTCCTCAATGTAGAGCAGAAACAATAAAAGTTCTTATATATATTTATATTTAACCACATTAATTAAATAAAAAATATGAAATTCTCATTAATTTACTTCAGAAAAATCCGTTTTATTGCTTTTAAAACGATATGAATTGGAGCTCTTGGAGAATCTAGTTGCGACTTTTTTACAGTTGTGAAGCTTGGCCACCTCTTCTATATTCTATACGTGTGTAAAAAAATTTGATATTGTTTTCTTTCTTTGAAACTAGATTCACGTTATTTTATAGAATCCCAATCTTTTAAGTAGCATCCATTAAGTCAAAACTCTATGTGTAAAAAGCAAATTATAGCTACGTCTAGATAAACAACGGAAACAAAAAATGGAGTGAAAGTCCTTTTTATTAAGAACTCAACATAGTTGAACAGAAGGCACTTCGTGTGCTTACAAAACCAGTCAGCATTTATGGTGCCACGCTAAAATAAGGAATTTCAAAGTAAACAAAGTTAAATCTTAAACTAGCCCCAAAAGCTAAACAGAAATAATTAGCGCGTAAGATGGCTCGAAACTATGCTGCCATGAAAAGCACTATTGAAAAGAATAAAGCAATGTTGAAGGCAAACGGCTAACTCAAAATATCAATTATTCACGTGGCCTTCAGCAGGCGAAACACGCTTTATATAATCAATCTAAAAACCTCCTTTTAAATATTATGTTTTTCTACCTCATATAAATACGCGCGAGCTAAAACTTACATTCTTGCAGGAAAACGGGAAAGGAAAAAGGACGGTACAGTTACTGAACATAAAATAACAGGTTAATTAAAATAAAAAAAGTACTTTACTATTTTAATAGGATTTACACAACGCCTTCATGACTGCTACTGTGATGCATTTAGGCAACGATCTTGAACAAGATAATTCTAAGGTGACCGCTTTCAGCAAAATAGTTTTCTTCAGACAAGCCTGAGATACTAGCATATATATTAATCGAAATGTAAGTAAAATATTACTTTGTGATTAAACACTAGCAGTAAATTCTTCAAACCGTGTGATATGTTAAGTCAATCAAAAATTAAATGGATTAGGTCGCTAAATACTGGTAGTTAATAATTGCTAACTCTCCGCTATGGAATGTGTATAATTTTGTGTCACTTAACGATAAACAGAACATATTTGGAAAATTCCGTGATACATAAGGCCAGTCAAAAGATAAATTGATAATAATATTAAATGCTGGTACTCCGCACTTTGTAAGTCCGAAATTGAATAGAATTTTTGCAAAAGTTTCGTGCTCTTTCGGCATGAGCGATGAATTAGAATCTATTCCCAATATAAAATCCTTCAGAAAAGTTAGCTACCGGGATAACTTGCGTGCATTTTCACAATTAATAAGTATATCGTGCAATAAACTGCATAAATAAAAATTACTTATGTATACTAAGTTTTCAAAGGAAGTGGTTTAATATTTACCTTAGATCTCTGTTTCCAAGTGCAAAATTAAGGTGAGTAATTTTATGAAAAAGATTAATACTGACATCCGGAGGGCTCTGAAAATGGGAAAAGAAATTAAGTGTTATAATACTCACAATGGAAAAAATTCCAGTGAGGTGCAATATTATTATACTTCAACAAAATGAATATAAAAACGTTATTTACCAACACTATTCGAGTTAGTTAAATTTATATCAGTAATTAGTGTTTTATCGAATCAGCTATTTTTTCAATAATGAATAGTGTCTCGTTTAGTGCTGAACCATTAATTGCTGTTAAGGATAACTTTATTTTTCAAAAACTTAAAAGGTATTTCTCCCGCCTCCTTAGCATGCCTTCGTGGTGTAGTGGTCAGCACGCTCGAAACGAATTCGTGAGGTCCGAGGTTCGAGTCCTGGCGAGGGCATTGCTCATTTTCCACATCACCTGATTTCAAAAAATACCTCATGTCTCTACACACTTACGAGAAAAATATCTGCATTCAATAAACGAAAAGCGCAACAATGTAATACTGTGTATAGATATATCAGGAGCTGAAAAAAAAAAATTTAAACCTTTCCTTTTCGGGAAAAATATAACTATCAGACAAATGAAAAAATTCCTAAAATTTTCAAAAAATAATTACTGTAGTGAGATAATCATGAGAATATACGGAGTCGTAAAATTGTTTTCATTATTACTACCTGCCCTACGCTTTTCTCAGATATCCAGCAGAAATCTCTATATATAAAAGGAAGAGTCAGTCTGTCTCTGTGTGTATGTGTGTCTTTCATTCGTGTTCCGCGTAAGCTAAAAGACCCAATGATACGAAATTTGGTACATAAGGTGATCTAGACTTCGAGGCGCTAATGCATCTCGAAGCGAGTTTTTCTAAATTCGAATGAGTGCTTTTTTATTTTATGTTTTTGATGAAATCGCATCATATCGATAAATCTCTCTCATTATATCAGCAACAATGGAACGCATTCATTGTTGCTTACATATCACTGTTGTCATTTTTGATGATATCAGCACTGATACTGTTCGGAAAAATAAGCGAGAATTCTGTGCAGTTTTTAAATTTAATGTTTCTCTTGGATACTGAACGTTTGTCGAGAGAGGGCAACGGAAAGTTGATTAATTTATTTATTAGGATAATTAATATTTGTACTAAGGGATATTGCTCACGCCACTGTAATTTTTTATATGTAATACATTTTAACATTTTATTGATTTTTTTTTTTTTTTTTTTTTTTTTTTTAGTTTAAAGAAGCAAGTTTAAAGGACTAATAATTTCGTTTTGGCATTTTGCGTTGATTCACTGCAAGCGTTGTTTCACTTTTTAAATTGTTGCCACTAAATATTATCGCCCTGTATTATATTTAAAGAAATTAAATAATGAAGAATCTGCATGAATATATGTATGTTTCAAGGCCATCAAATTTTGACTAACGTAATCCTCCTGCGAATATGGGCATCTGGAAGCACAAATTTGAAATTTGGGATTTCTTTTATTATCGATTTCATATTTTGTAAAACTTTAACGAATTTTTGATTAACAAACTCAAGGATGCCAACGTTGCGAGCAATGCAAACGTAGCCAAAGCGAGCAATGCCAACGTTGTACGGAAAAAAAAAAAAAACTTTTATCTCCAGCGCTCGAGACTGTGTATCGGAAATTCTAAAGATATGCTCATTTTAAAATAATTTTACCATATTGCTATTGAACTGAATTTTATAGTTTAAGTGCGAAGAACGTGATATTTAATAAAAAAAGGTAACCCACAAAACGTTAAAAAGCACCCCTTTGGGCGTGATGTAAAATCTGAAACCTTTCAGATGTTTTTTTTTTTTTTTTTTTTGATAATGTTGTTCTTTAAAGATCCGGTCTTTTCAAATTCTTTAGAGATCCTATTTCTCAGTTACAAGTAATCCGGACAATTTTAAGATTTAAATTAAAATGATCAGATATGCATATAAAAAATGTGATATATACTTCGAAAGTAGTGTGCAAATAAATATGAGCACGGTTTGTTCTTAGGTATTTTTATTTAAATGCTGAAAGTTATTACAATATGTTGCATTTAGTATGCAATGTGACCGCTTCTTGCTTGCATGACTTGTTTGACACAATCGGGCATGTATTTGATCAGACTTTGGCACATTACTTCATCGTCGCGACAACATACTTGTATTAAACAAGAAATCATCCTTTATTTACTTGTACAGTTCATTTTCTATATTATTGACTAAAGAATTGCAATTTTTCGATTGGATTGAGGTGGGGCGAATTTCTTGGCCAATCTAAAAGCTTAACATTACTTTCTTGAATAATTTTTCGATGTGTGGCACGGAAAAAGGTCTTGTTAGAAAATGCCACATCCAATTGGCCAGAGCTCCTTCAACTTAAGAACTATTTCCTTCTAATCACTTCAATATATTTGCCGGAATTCATCATTTTAACAACTCCCAATAGTGGGTTTGGCCCATAAACAGAAAAACACCCCCAAAACATTTTCTTAACGGATTATTTTACACACTAGTCGATGTGATTAGGAAATAGTTTCTCGCTGTGTGGTTCGAGACCTGTGACCTTGCACAACGAAATGGCTTTCCTCTAAAAATAAGACGTTTCTTACTCTTTTTTTAATCCATTTTTCATGTTTTCTTCCTCACGATAGTCTCGTTTTCATCACTGGATAAGTTAGAAGTTGTTTTTTTAAGGATAAACAGCCTTACGACCAGATTTGAGTAGCCTACGATGAACAGTGGAGTCGTGAATATGAATACGTGACTCTACCAAATGTATTTGGAGGTCAAATCTTGTTAACCTAGGATTTTGAATGGATTTCTTTATTAAAAAGGAGTCATTCTTGGCACTAGTTTTTCTTTCTCCTACCCCCCCCGGAAGTCGACGTACAGAACTCTGCGGAGCTACTAGCTAGTATCTGTACCTAGGCAGTCTCGGGCACGGGGGTATATGAACCTAGTGGTTCTGGAGGCCCTGAAAAGGTCATTGGCTGCCCCGGTGGTCTGGCGAGTCCTAGACCGTAGTGGCTCTAGTAGCCCAGGGGTAGCGCCCTCGGTTTCTCTGGGTAATGTCCCACAGCGACGGGCAGCCTGGGCGACTGGCAGGTAGCAAATCTGACAAACAGTGTCGCCCTACGCGATGCGTCCTTCTCTCCAAGATGCGAGGGCGGAGGTTTAACCTCTGTGCCTGGTTCTAAGGAGCGAGGGAACCTGTAGTGCGGTTCAGTCTCGCGAGGTAGGGAAGCCCTTATCTTACTTACTTGCTTTCTCCTAGACGCTCCTTTCCACTAGATTGATAAACTGCCCATCTCTTAAACCGTCGAATAATTTTGTTAACAGCACTCAAACTTATATTACACACTTCATGTCCCTCTGTGTCATAGAAGAGTGCCTACTTAATGTCATCTTACTTGCTTCGAGTGAAGTCCATCATTTAAAACTTGTAATACAGTTTTTCAGCATGTAGTACAGATAAAATACAGCCTAAAAACAAGAACCTAAAAGTAATACAGTACAAAACAGTAAACAGATGGGCGTAATCGCAGTTAAATATCGGCTGTAAATAGGCCTACCAAACTCAGGAAATCAAATGATGTGAAAATCCCCTCTTGTTTATATTAATTTGAACACTGTCATATGTTTTCAAATTTTTATCTGCTTATCTGTTAATTTTAATTTCAAGAATTTGATAAGTACTAGTTACTGAAGCTCTGAAGTGGAAAAAAGTATTCTAAAATGTGACCTAGATATTAAGTCCCGTTTTAATGTAGATTTAATTTAGTGAGGAATGAAACAAACTAATTTTATTATTAAAACAAAAATTAGACTTTATTACATTTATTTGAAGAAACGTTATACTATCTGATACAGAAAGTTCAGAATAGCCCAAAGAATGATCTAATGTTCAATCATTTGAAATATTTGATGAATAACTTTTAGTTTCTACTTTTTTTATTTGTTTAAATTAAAAGATTCTTTTCATGAAACACCTGTTTTTCTTTTTGTTTTGTTTTCAGAAATCTGAACGGCAAATAAAATTTTCACAGTTTCTTCATGCTTTTCTTCAAACATTCTGGTTTATAGATTCGTACATTTCTATTACACTGCTCATTAAACTTTCAATCTTTTCAAGCAGTTAATATTACAATTAATATACTATTACTATTGTAGTTTAGACCTGTCAGATTTAGCAGTATATTAGTACTGTAGACCTGTCAGATTTCAGTACTCAGAAACTAGTTTTTGTGTACCACCTAACGTTTTATAAGTAAATTTAAAATAAATATATCAGAAACGTGAAGAGTTTTAAAACATCAGATATGACTCGTAAACATCACAAAAAAATTAAATAGACGTGACTATTTTGCTTAGTTCTTAACTAAATAGTTTTGTTGTTACTAAAATAAGTGTAGTGAATGTAGTGACGCCTGATTTAGTAGTTTAAACCTAGTGATATAAAGCGATTCATGTTCTAGGTGGAATTTACTAAGAATTAAAAGAATAACAGTTAGGTTAATAACAGTTAGATACAGCAAAGCACACTAGGACTAATTGCGTCAGTGGAGGGACCTCTTCGCGGGGACTTTTGAATGAAACTCGCTCGTATTCGTGTTACACATGAGAAAACCCTCTAAAAACATTCACGCCGTCAACCTGGATTCGAACCCGTGACAGACTATCGGTATTTAGCTGTCTTAGCCTCTCGGCATTTTCTGATTATTCATCTCTGACCGAAATCATGGATGATTGATTAGAAATAAGTAATGATTGCTAATAATGCCATCAATGTGATTCTGCATAAGCTTAAGTCAAATCATTTTTTTCCATTCAAACAATTGCAATGAATGGAATGCTATCGGATTAGCACATATACCTTAATATGTGTAAGTAGAATAATGTTTCATAAGTAAATAATTTAAATAGTAATAAAATATCAGGGAAATTAGAAGTGTGTCATAGTAAATAAATGGTACGAATTTTTTAGGTAACCTTTTGCCAAATAATTTAATTTCTGTTAGAATACTCGCATTAAGTATAGTATTGTACTCTAAGTATACAAGTACAATACTATACTGTATAAGTACAATACTATACTGTATAAGTACAATACTATACTTACTATACTACAATACTAGTATAGTATTGTACTATAAGTACAATACTATACTTACTTATAAGTACAATACTTCGCATTAAGTAGTCTTAGAAAATAGTGTGTGAAAGTCGAATAATATTTTATAATTTAGCTCTAATAAGCAATAATAAAATAAAAGAAAAATTATTCTTATGTTTCATATTTTATAATGCAATCAGGGACTGTAAAATTCTAATTACAAAAATCTGTCATCAAATTATTATTATGTAATAAAAAAAAGGGTCCTCAAAAAGGGATATAAA